GCTTATCATCAAAGAGTCTTCGATCATAACGTTGGAAGAAATTTCTTTCAATTCATCCTCGGCTTTGTTAATATCTAGAAGCAAAGACTCTCTTTCAGATGCAGGACGAAGATATTGAGTACTCTTGGCCTTCAATTCAACATTTTTAGCTAGCAAGGAGAGGATATCAGAGTGGACAACCTTCAATGTCACTTTAAAGTCATCAGAAACATTGTGCGACGGAAGTGTAAGTTCTTGCGCCAATTTCGCATTCAATAGCTCAAACTTATCCTTATGTTTAGTAGAACTAGCCTGGCCGATATCCATGTCCATAAAAGACACATACTCAAGTATCGACTGCTTAAGAGACTTCATATTTTCCTCGAAAAAAGTGGAAGATGAAGCAGAAGAATGACTGGTTGAAGTAGGGAAAGATGTCTTGACTTGTCCCCAGGAAGTGAACAAGTCCTGAATGGAACGCACAATGTCATCAGCACCATACAAAAAAAATGCCAACATTGAGGACTTTCACTGCAATAAACGAAGCAAAAATGAAAATGAAGCAAAAGGTTGCCTCATCAACAATATTGGGAAGTTCAGGCATATCACCAGTTGGCTCCACCACCTGTGGGGACTTCCCTTATCTGGACGAGAAGACTCTGCCACAACGGGCAGGCCCATGGGAGCCTCTGCATAATTCAAGAAACAACGAATCAGAAACCAGTAGCACAAGCAAAGGTAAAACATCAAAATATGTATTACCTTCTGGTTCGACATTTAGGGGGTCGGCGCCCTGGGAAGAAGGGGGCCCTTCTACTGGTTGTGATGAAGATTTCGGGACTAAGGATTTCTCTTTAAGCATAGTCCCTTCATCAGCTGATTTGGACGAAGTAGCCTCAGCAGAAGATGATGAAGCAGAAGTTTCCAAAACCAAAGCCTTCGAAAGAGAGGCTGAACTTTTCTGAGAAATTCAGGTAAACCATTAGTACATAGAAAAGTATGTTTGTGAATAAACTAATTCAATTACCTTTCTCCTAAGGATGAGAGGAGCTTCATCATTATCATCATTATCATCTCGCGAAATGGGAGATGCTGAAGCTGGCTGTTTGAGCTTAAGGCACCTTTAACTGCAGTAGCCTTAGCAGGTGGAAAAGCAGATAGACGGATAGGATATTTAGCAAGAGGAGGGGAGGAAGGATTCCTAATGGACACAGGGGTGACCAAAATAGGAGAAGTAGATGGAGTGTCTGGCTGATCCAGTAAATGGACGGCGTGATTAGCATCAGTTGCAAACAATCTGCATTTTACTGATGGCTAGAGCTGTTCAAAAAGAGGATGGACGGCACAACTATAATTGAAAGGGGCTAATGAAAATTTGCTCGCCAAAAGAATGTTGCGAGCATCTACAGCTTGTGTTTCTACCTTATTAATAGTGTGAAAATGATCTGTCAAATTTTTGGAGTAGCAAGGAGGAATAGGCCAAGTTTGGCCAAAACCAAGTTAGCGAGCTAAAAATTGGGGAGCATATATTTTAACCCCAACTTTGGCATTGGTTCCAGTTAAAATATCGTAGAACAATTCCCTCCTAATCAAAAACTGAACCCAAACAAGCAGAGAGGCGCTCGCACTGTCCAGGGTGGATGGAGGTTGCACATAATCTGGAGTCAAGTGAGCAGGAAAAGGAAAGAAGGAAGGAATCGAATTTAAGATATAAAAGAATAAAAAAATGTCCCTACTGGACATATTAACAGGGTTCAATGGATCAATGGCTAGCCCATAGCAGTTAGCAGAATGAAGGGAAATGGATGGAGCACCAAGTGGTGGAAAGTATGCTCTCAACCACAGTTGAGTGAACCAAAGGGGCCCACTGCCAGTGGAAGATGCACCATTTTTCAGTTGAGATTGAAGGGAAGTCATGCCTCTATAAAGGGCAGCTATAAAGAAGGAACATAAGTTCAAAGGCCTACCATGCGCCAGTTCATGCGCTATGGGTAAGTAGCTCATAGAAGGTCTCATACTTGGCATGCAGAGAATATATTTACAGAGCCAAATTTGAAGAAAAGCCACACGCTCAGTATGGGAAGGTTCAGCACTTGAATGATTATAAAAGCCTTGCATGCTTGAATAGGACTCAGTAAGTTTCTTGTCAAATTTCGGGCCAACACTGGAAATCAAGATATCAGGAAAGATAGTATTGCCCAAAGGCAAAAGATTTACTAGGGCTCCAACTTTCCTTAAAGTAATGACATGGGACTAAGAGGGAAAACGAAGGTATTATATTCAGAAGACCAAAAACTCAAAGGAATCGGAAAAAGCACTGAGTCGAAAATCGGGGGTTGAAGAGCGATTTTTAATAAGTTTGAAATCCTAGCACGATCAAAAATCGCTTTGGTAAGGCCATGATTCACAAGACGTGCATGCCATCTACGAAAAATAACATCAGCTTTGGGTCAAGTGCGAATACTTTTTTCGCGAATCGGCCTCAATGGCAGAGAGGTCAGGAACGCAGGGTCTTGAGTGCAAGGGAACAGCTGGCCCACCGCCACCCGTCCAACAGCTTTGACATTATTGAATGATGGACCCAAATAGAATTCATTGAGGTTAGCATTGGCTAGTGCAAGGAAGTTTGGATTTACATACGGCCCAGTGAGGATTTTCTGGAAATCTTCGAAACTAAAAAAATCATTAGATTGAGTTTGTGAAGTTGCCATTGGGTGCAAAGTACAGTTTTGTTGAGATTTGCCTGAGAAACGTAGCAGAAAGCAAGAAGATGAACAGTAAAATAGTAAGGAGGAAGCGTGAAATATAGAGACGTGGTTTATGGTGCGATGAAATGGCGTGTCTTTTGGGTTTATAAGGGTTTGTAACGTTGCACCTTTTCAGGCTATAGAAGGAAATAATGATTGAAATTCTTGAAAATTTCAAATGTTGCTGGAAAATACAAAGTAAATATGGCAAAGATTAATAATTGGTATTAATTCTGTCCTATTGGGGGGTAATTGTTGACACACTAAAAGTGCAGCCCAAATCAAATAGCCCAAAGAGTGAAGCCCAATTGGAGAGTCCAAGATAAAGGTCCAAACAGGATTATTGATGAATGCAGCGGAAGCCCACGAACACAGTAACATCATCGCCCAAGCTTGCAAGACGCCCAGAATCTGAGCGAATGGAGTGTCTTACAGTCGCCTAGAGCAATGACCCCGTTCTCGCCCAAACTTCGAATTACCCAGGATCTTAGCAAACATAAAATATTATGGTTATTCAGAATAGCAGTTATTGAAACAGTTATTGAGTAATCTTATCATATTCCACGATTTAAGGAGCCCAGTTGAAGGCGGTTGAACGACAAAGAGTAATGGCAGCAGTTACAGACGGCAGTTCCACAACAAGTTAGCCACGATAAAGAAAGTGGGTAGTTATAAAGCAATCAAACAGTTTCCAAACGGTTTGTCACGAGGAAATCATCAAGGGAATATAAAAAGGAAGAGAAGACATAAAGAAAAAGAGAAAGAATCAAAACACTCTCAAATAGAGAATATGTAATTTTTATTTTTTAGCTTAAATTTAAAAACACTTCTTTTAGTACTCGTGTGCTTGCGTCCCTTGGAGGCATTCTGTTTATTTCCAATTGTAGATCATCTTCAATAAAACACCCCTTTTTGGGACTTTGTCTCAAGAGATCTGTTCGTTACACAATCGTTTGATCCCTTTTTTAATTGTTAGCTACTACCCGCGCGAAACAGCAGGCAGTACGGTTTTCAACTTCCATTTTTAGGGGAACTAATTTAGAACCCATTTCATTCAGTGAAAAGTTCGTAAGATAACGTCAAGGAGGATGTAGAAATGCAAAATGCTGAATTTTGTTGTATTCTGAGGTCCATAACTTTAATATGATTTGCATTCAAGATTTTACACTTTCAAAATTATCAGAAATGGTCATTCGCTGCTTGAGCTTCTCTATTTTCTGGAACGGAAAAGACAGCAAAATCTGTGGCCAAACTTCAATCTTGGTATTTTTCCCTTGGCTGTAAATTCATGGTCGATTATCTCTATTGGTAAAATTTGGCCCCTGTTCGGGAGGTGTTTAAATTATTACTTTTGGTCAAATCTACTTTTCCTCCACATTTCATAACAGAAAATTACTTTTGTTCATAGTTGAAATATGTTTTTAACTATGTTTCCTAAATTCAAGATTTGTTTTGGCATTTTGTTAATCTATGATTACAACTGATTTCATATTTATGAGTCTTAACCATTTTTTCTAACGTAGGCCAAGTTGGCACCTCGAAGAGCAAACGGGAATCCAACAAACCAAGTGCAACAAAATCCTCCAATAGATGGATACATTTTCATGCCCACATCTGGACTTGGGGTCACAGCTCACAAGTGATGCACAATCTAACAATAATGGTCCTTCCCCTATTGCAGCTAGGCAAACTGAATGAGGGCTGAAAGGGTAAAAGAATGTTTTTGACATGGAAGTTTTTGACAGCAAATTGTCTTTGACATGGTTTTAAATATCTGTAGTTTAGGGTCGTCATGGAAGTTTTTGACAGTGAACTATCTTTGGCCATAGTTTAGTGCATTAAAGTGGTCAAAGAATGTTTTTGAAATGTAATTTAACCATCATCGATGAATATTTTCTGAATGAATGGTTATATTCCAACAGTTTACTGGTTCAGATTCTTGATTTTGAGAATGAATGAGTTGTAGTTTAGTCAAGAAGACAGAACAATGTTTACTGGTTTATATTCCAGCAATGTGCACCTGATACTTGGGGCTGATTTTGTAATTTGCTAAGCTGATTTCAAGCAATGTGCACCTGATTCAAGCAATATATACATATATTTAATTGTAAATCAAACTGAAGCTTCTCAATCTGGTGCATTACAATGAAACTTCTCAATCTGTTGCATCACATTTATGCACCTCAATCAATCCCAATTTTCAATAGCCTTAGAACAAACTTCTAATTTACACAAAATATTGTCATCCATCAACTCAGCCACAAAAAGGAAACAAACCAAATTATAATAGGATTCATTCATTCAATAATACAAAGTTCAAAGAACCAAGTTACAACAACCATCAACTCAGCCATAAAAAGGAAACAAAACAAGTTATAATAGGATTCATTCATTCAATAATACAAAGTTCAAAGAACCAACTTACAACAACCAACTACATATACGCATTTTCAACCCCTACTCCATTGATCAAGATACATATACATATACGCATTTTCATATCTCCTACTGTACAATTGAAAGCTCCTAGTAACCGTGGGAGTTCTCTTCCATCTGCTTCTACTCACCTTCGATTGCCTGTACAATTGAATCAAAGCTACAGTTACTGATTCCTTGCACTTTCCACAAGTCCACGAGGTTCTACTTGTCTCAAGCATATAACGGTAAAAATCTGATTATGATTTCCACCTGGAGTTCCTAACCCGACCCCTAATTGTCCCCATCCTCGACCAGCGAGTGGTAACGTTAACCAGTGGAATAACAACAACCAAAATAATCGGTACCCACAAAACCAAAACCCTAATTTGAGCCAAAAAATCCTCAACAAGGTGGGTTTTAGAGTCAGGGTTCTCCCCAAAACTTTCGTCAGAGGCAGAATTATCCGCAGCCTGGAGGTGGAAATCATAATCAAAGATATTATGCGGACCAGTGAAGGGAAGAGATGGCGGCGATTCTCAGGCCGGTGGCGTCCATTTTGTACCAGCCCGCATCACCATCCTGGAGAAAATTGTGGCCGGAATTAAAGGGTTTGAATTGGGGGTTTTGATATTGAGAATAGGGGAGAGTCGTGTGTGTGTTTTATCCGAGGTTGTCAATTTAACAGAGAAATGGTTGCCACGTCTGCTTCTGTCATCCACGCGTAGTTTTCCGTTTATTTGAAGAGATGGAAGTTAAATGAGTGCTGAATGGGTAACTAAATAGAAAGATGGGTGACCATTAAATAACCCGTTAAAGAAGAGTAAGTAAGTAGTAACCATTTCAAAGTTGAATGATAATTGATTAAATATACTCGTGTGGCTAAAGTGGACACACTTTATTTAATATCACAGCTGTGGGTTTTGGGGGGTTTTGGTTTGTTCTTGGAACCGGTGGGTCTGCCTCTAGGTCGTCTTGTCATTTTTTCTTCTCTGGTGGCTGGCACTAGCTCTTCTTCCTCGACGGCAGCACGTCGCCAGTGATGATGGTGGTGGAAACACCGTAATTGTTGTCACGATCTCGCTTTAGGCTGCGGTTTATATTGCTATTTTTGCTTTATTCATCTTGACGATTCTGCTGGTGGTGCTAAAATTGGTAGTGGTGGAGGGGCTGAAGATCTCTGGGGTGAAATGGAGGCGGCAAAGGGTGGCCCTGAAATTTTTTATTTGGCGGCTGTAATTGAATCTTATTGCAATTAATATACTAAGTGTTGAATCTCCTTTTCAATTTCTGTGGTGGTGGTGGTGTTATAATAGTTGGTTTTGGGCTTTCTTAGACTCACCGGAAGGGGTTCTTCCGAGAATCTCATGTTTCATTATAGTTGACCCATCCATTGATTGGCTATGCTGATGTCTTACTCTTAGCTTCCCGACTAAAGCTGCAGCAACACTATCAGCTGAAGGGTTGACTAGTGATGATGCTGATGCTGGATAGATGACAAATATTTAAAATGAAGTAGCAGATGACTAAAGCTGCTTGAATTCGAAGAAATCCCATGATCAAAATGACCCAACTCTAATGAACTGCATGGTCCTAAAGGAGACAAATCGACGACTATAGTCCAATGTGCAAAGGTCTGCCCTGTCTCTTTAAAATTGTAAATTTTCTCTTAAAAATTATTGATGAAAAATGCTATTAGATTAAAAAATAGCAGTAATATTGAGAATTTCAAGAACCGCTCTACATGAATTTAAGGTCCTCGAGATCAATGAAAGATGAAAGTGATCCTCCAAGGTCGAGAGGTACTCGTTAAATCATTGAATAGGTACCCAGCCACATCCAACAACGCAAGTTTCATCCTGAGATGACAAGTTAATGATTTTCCATGAGAAGGCCTTGAAGTAATTATTCAAAAAACATTAAGTAATCAGAATTCATATTCATGAAGTTAGTAATTACATTATATCAATCACTTGTTGTGCTAACTATGAGTAAGTTTGGCTAACCTTCAGAGCAAGTAAAAGTTGTTTCCAAACAGTTTTGATTGTGAAACTTATTCCTTACTTTTAATTAATTTAAAAAAATAAATTTATTTTAAAGTACTTCTAACCTTTCTGTCGATACAAATAATTGACTTATTCTCATTTTCCATCAATAAAAATTTAACTTTCTAAAACTTACTTATTACGTATAAATAAACTTTTTAAGGTTAGCCAAAAAAGATCAAATGAATCTGGAGCACACTTTTTACCATGTAACTGGAATTCCAGAGAGCCATTGGCCCATCGTGCATAAATTCATAGGCGAGATAGTGCCCCTCGCCATGAATACAGTACCCCGAAAGCAAAACAATGTTCTGATGCTGAATCTTATTCAACCACTCGATCTCATTCTGCAAAATTAATTGAAATATAGCCATATTGAAAACCTGCAAAAGAATAACCAAATTCCGAAAGATAGAACCAAACATGCATAAATTTACCTTGAATTCTCTTTCGGCTACCTGTCCACCAGCCGATTGTTTTTTAACGGCTGCATGAAAGTCGTTGTCAAAGTGGGCTTTATAAAAGTGCCTTGATCCACCTTCATCAAGAATGTTGTCTTCATGGAAACTATTTGTAGCAGCTACTAACAATTGGTACTCGATGTCATCTATAGAACCCTTTTTTATTCCAATTCTCAAAGAAGTGAATTTATCCAAAATTGGACCTAATGAGATCCCTTTTGCAGCTTCTACCTATGTATACTCAAATAAATTATTGTCAACAGAACATTACAAAATGTACAACAAAGATTCAATTGTATAGCCAAGAAAAAAAATTCCATTTTAGGCTTATTGGTAATCCTATATCAACTTACTTTCCCCTGCCCCCACGACCTACTCAAAACGAAAAACAAGGAGAGAAGGGAAGGAAAATGGAGTTCACTTGAAAAATGATACCTGGACTCTAATTGTTTTTTTCACGGTATTTCTTCAACCTTTTCAGTCTGTATATCAAAAAGCCCGCCAAGAACAGCAAAATTACCCCGAGAGGAGTCGAAGCTACAACCAGTGCAATCCTAATTTCTTGTTCAAGTCCTGGTGAGTGGTGATGCACACGTTTACCCCTGAAACTTCAGCACCATAGGAAGAAACACACAAAATTCCCACAACTTCATTAATTATATAATCCTATTCCTTCGGCTACATCTGGCTTTGCATTCTTGAATTGATGCAACTTTAGCCATAGAAAAGTCACTGAACATCCTTATAGAAAGAAATAGAATGCAAAATGTACATAAAGAAAATTAAAGTACAGAAAATCCTACCCCGTGATAATTATAAGCGAGATTTGCTAATAATTTATCCCAATTTATGACTCAATTTTTCAGGGCTCTGATAAAATTGGGGCCAAATTATAACACATTCAAGAAAATAACACCAGTACACAAAAACTTCACAGCTCATTATCTTTAAACCTCTTGAACAATCATCAAAATAAAAAATGGAAGCTAAATTTAGTGTGCTCGAGTTATGTATCGAAAATTCACAGCCTATCATTTCAAATTAAAAGCAAAATGAACTTAATGCTAGAAAATTAGCAAATTACCTGGAGAATGAGAATTCCTATTTGAAGAAATAAAAAAAAAATGGATCTTTTTCAGTAGGAAGAAGAGGATCAGAAACAGGAGGATCAGGGTTCACATCAAGTGTAGCTGAAAACAAAGTAGAACTGAGAACCCAAATAGAAACACACGTTATAAAGAGAACCTTCATTTCCCAAAATCTTCAATGTAAAAAATTGGGAATTTTTTGAGTTAGTTGTTCCAATGGTCACTGATCTTATGTCATATTTTTTATTCCTCATTGAAATTTAAGATGTCGAGTTTTATGACTAAACTTATTGAACATTGGACGTTACTCACTACCATAACATCACGTTGTTTACAAATTGTTACGTCTTTAATTTTTCACCAAACTTTCAAAAATGTCTTTAGTTGCTCACTAAATTTTGAAAAACATCTTCGATTACTCACTAAACTTTGAAAAATATCTTTGATTACTCACTAAACTATGAGGTGATCAAATTTTGGCCATTAAACTTATAAAAATGAAGTCGACCTATTGTTCGTTAAAAACATATGTAGCATAATTGCAATGGTCGCGTAAAAGTAATAAGTGGACAAACGAATTCATATTGTCGGAAACGATTACTCAATTGCGCAATAATTAAATTTAATTTTAATATATTTTTTAGAATTTTAAATTATTTTCATTATTTGAAAAATTCAAATTTATTGTATGTTTCGTTGTTAAAATTAAATTAATATTTCAATTTTGCAGTGAAACACAATGAATTTCATTCACTTTTGGTCCCTCCATAAAAATGGATTGTGTTTTTCATTACGAAAATCCCAATTTTAATTAAATTTATTGTATGATTGGTTAGAAAATCTAAAAATCAATATAATTTTAACAATGAAGCATACAATAAATTTGAATTTTTCAAATGATGAAAATAGTTTAAAATTCTACCAAAAAATGTTAAAATTAAATTTAATTATTGTGCAATTGAGTAATAGTTCCTCGTGGAATCGACAATATGAATTCGTTTGTCCACTTATTACTTTTATGCGACCCATGCAATTGCGCAACATATTTTTTAACAAACAATTAGTTGATTTCATTTTTATAAGTTTAGTGGTCAAAATTCGACTACGTTAGTGAGTAATCGAAGACGTTTTCAAAATTTAGTGAGCAATCGAAAAGGTTTTTCAAAATTTAGTAAGCAATTAACGACATTTTTTTAAGTTTGGTGAGCAATCAACGACGTAAAAATTTGTTAACGGCATGACGGGGCACTACATGCATATTTCGTTAGCCACGTCACTAATTTCATTAAAGAATTGGAATTGATGTTAAGGTATTGAGTAGCATTCAGCATTTTGATAAATACAGTGGCAAAACTCGATATTATAAATTTCAATGAGCAATCAAAGATATAAACAAAAGTTCAGTGACCATTAAAACAATTAACTTGAATTTTTCTTTTTTATGATATTTCTAGGTTGGAAATTTTAAATGGTTTTGTGGGTTTATTTTATCGGAGTGGTACCTCAGTTTTTTTCTTTTTTTTTTTTCTTAAGGAAGAGACGGAAAAACTGGCAGGTCAAGCAAAAGGGTCATTTTTTTGCCTATTCTAAAGAAGAACCGGCAAATGCACAATAATCGTGTGGTAGTTTTTGAAAGAGGAAGTACTCTTCATTGTTCTCGGCACATCAAGAGACTCATGTTTTGTGACATTATGTCAAAAAGTTGTAAGCATTTATTATGTGAATGAAAACCAGAATTTTAATAGATTTTGATAAACAAAATTAGATGAAACTTATGTTTGGATAAGAATTAAAATCTTTATTTTAATCAAAATTAAAGTCAATAATTAATTTTAACTATATATTTCATGGGATCTACAACTTTTAACCGCACTTTTATAAACATTTATCAAAAATTACTAAAATCTTATTTTAATCTTCACCAATCATGGGTGAAAACGTATGGTTAAAAAGTTATGAGCCCTATGAAATTTTTCGTTAAAATTAATTATTGACTTTGATGTAAATTAAAATTTAGATTTTAATCCCTACAAAACATGGGCTAAAATTACCTACGTGCCCTTTCATTCAATATTTCTAATTTTGGGAAAGAAAAATTTTCGAGTGCAAAACTTTTTAGTATAAGAAATTGAATTTTGTTTTGTTTCTAAATAATGTCATTTTTAAGAAAAAAAATACTGCATGAACTTTGAATTATCTAGGTATTATAGTCGAATTAGACAAAGTTGACAATGACTTTGTGTCTATTTAAAACTCTCTCTTCATTTCTGTACGCATTTCGAATGATCTAGACATTCTCGACAAACTAAATAAAATGATGAGTGTTACTAGGCACTACAGTTTTTCTATCTAACTAAAATTTAATAAATGACAATGCAGTAATTTGCTTGATTGAAAGACTATTTAATAATTCTTTTTTATGGGAGGCAGATTTAATTTTATTATTATTATTATTATTATTATTATTATTATTATTATTATTATTATTATTATTATT